AGAGCTAAAGATGAAGAGATGCTAGTCATGTCGAGATACACAAGTATATAAATACATATCAACTTCGTTAATTTACCTGCAAAAAAACTGGGAAAACCTTGAAGTGTTATAGCACACTCACGTCGATCATCATCAGAAAAGGAACCTGAGCCGGTGGGTACTCTGCCCTCCCCGTCCCTGGTTAACAGCCGTCGACCACCGCCTGCGGTGCTTCCAACTCTAATTTTTGCCACAGATGTCATTTTCCTTCGCTCACTTCATATTTTCTTTGGATCGCTATTTCGATGATAGTAGGGGTGTCCCATAAATATTGCAACACATTTTGGGCCTCAATTGTATGGATGTCTGTGGTACTGCAATTGTTTTTGTACTGTATGCCACTGTAGGGTGTCTGTAGTCTTATGCCCATGATTGGCATACCTTCACTTCCTATAACCCCTTCTGAATAGCCTTGCCAACGTGCACGGCTTACTACTCGTTGTACATCTATGACGCACCAAAACCTCAGGAGAGGTTTTCTAATCACTCATAGAGCGAGGTAGGGCCTCCGGTGATGAACATCGCGCTTCCTCCGATTTTCAACCGCTCCTTGGTGTACCGAAGACCAATAAAATTAGTCTTCGTTGCGGCCGCCCCACAAATTCTGACATCTGGATCTCAGGAAAAGCATGGAGAAGCGAAACGAAGGCAATACCCGGGTTGGCGCGATAAAAGTGATCAGAACGCCGGAGTTTTCTGAACGCAATCATAGAGAGAGTCGTCGGATAACAGCTGCACACAATCCATTATAAGCATAAGCACCACTGCTCAATCCAACAGGTAGGAGCAGAGACATAAAATTCAAAGAGCTGGTATCATGGCGCTTTCGCGGCACCTTTTCATCGACAACAAAATTCCTCACATTACTGGAGCTGAAATCTTCATACTCCAAGGATAGTCGCACGAGGTCCCATGGAAGCCAATGAGAGTGAAAGGAATATTCGCCACAAGCACCAGCCAACCTTTATCACGACTTGGACAAGGGTCCAATATCCGGTGCTTTCACCACAGCTGTCTGTTGAAAGCGAATAAAACTCGACACAGACCTAGCTAACGAATTTTAGGTGCACAATGTTACTAAGCTATCTAGCCTTTGCGAAGAAGGATGACGTTTTTCTGGAGGGGAGTAGTCTCTGCACAGAGGGCGAGAATCGTTCAGGACTGGTTCTCATGATACCGTTCCCGATTTCACATCCTCAAGCGAACGGATCTCATATTTCTCGATTTCAACCTGCTGGACCATCCTATCCTACTTACTATAAAGCGCTTCGTCTGTCGTCTGTCGTTCTGTCTGTCTGTCTGTATGTCTGTCACGAAATTCCCTAGCTCCTCGGGATCCGCCTGGAGGGACCGGGTCAAGTGTGGGGGGTGGGCAAGGTCTCACGTAATACAAAACACACATCAGCTAAGCGGAGCCCCGCCCACAGAGGGCGTGGCGTGCGTCGAAATGAACTGTACCGAAGACCAAGATTTCGATTTCAGTGACAAAACGACCTCGAAACTGGGCCAAAAAGTGGGTAAAGGTGTGCATTGGTAAGTCACATCGAATTAGGGAGACCCACCCCCGGTGGGCGGGGCGTTCTCTAAAAAAGCAGTGCTTTATGAAAAATTTCATAACTCGGTTGGGAGAAAGCCTACAGAGCAGAAAACAATTTGGTGTAAGGGAGCAATGTCTAAGGTGTTTCCTGCATACATGACGTGGGCGGAGGCCCGCCCAGAATGGGCGGGCGTGCTTTGAAGTGTACAGCGGTTTTCTACAAGTCCTCATAATTCGGGCCGGAGAAGTCTTAGTGAGCCGGAAAAAGGTGGATAGAGGTGGGTGGAGGAGTGGAGGTCAACCGTCATTGGTGGGCGGGGCATGACCAAAGTGGGCGGAGTTTGCGACGAAAATTCATAACTCGGTTCCAAGAAGTCCCGGAGGCCGGGAAAAAGGTGGATAGAGGTGGGTGGAGGAGTGGAGGCCAGCTGTCATTGGTGGGCGGGGCTGACCAAAGTGGGCGGAGTTTGCGACGAAAAATTCATAACTCGGCTCCAAGAAGTCCCGGAGGCCGGGAAAAAGGTGGATGGAGGTGGGTGGAGGAGTGGAGGCCAGCTGTCATCGGTGGGCGGGGCTTGACCAAAGTGGGCGGAGTTTGCCAAAAGGGTCGCAATTTGGTTCCAAGAAGTCCTAGAGATAGGGAAAACGGGGTAGAGGTCGGCGAAAGGAAGGGGGCCAAATGCTATTGGTGGGCGGGGCACGCACCGAAGGCGGAGTTTGCCACGAGATTTATTGTCCGGAAGCAGTCCGGAGACCGGAAAAAGAGGATAATGGTTGACGAAGAAAAAGAGGTTGAAAGCCGTCGATGATGGAGCGGATAGAATTTAGCTGAAAGTCAGATATTCGTGGTGTATCAGGCCAAATTTGTAAATTTCCTCCGCACCATCAAAATTCGCCGCAGATCTGTGTTGTGCGCGCGATGCGTGCGGCGCCAAGTGGTTTGAACTATATTTGGGAACACTAGAGTTGTATTCGAAGCAACTGGGAGCCATACTCACAGAGGGGGACTTATCGAATAATTGTCATTCCTTTCAACATCTTAATGACTGGCTAAGAATTGTGTGGGACCACATGAAGATACATCCACTTTGAGGGAAGTTTCCAAGTTTGGAAGCGTGTTGCAATATTTATGGGACACCCTATACGCTGTGCGTATTATGTATTACCTCATTATCTGTAATACTCCTCTCCTGTCTTCTTTTCAGCGCCCAGACTAGTCCCAAAATTCCACCCTTCATTTTCTTCCAACTCCGTTCCATCTTCGATAGAAAAGAAGCGCTTGAGCGAGATTTGATAGGATTTTTGATGTTCTCGTTTTCGATTAATGCGATGGAAAAACGATGACACGATCTGTCGAAAAGAAGACTACCACCGCACGACCTATACCGGGTCAGTGTCATTATTTTCAATGCTTGTGCAGTGATCTTAGTGTTTCTGTGGACATTTTGCTGTGAGATTTTGAATTACCTTGATTTTCAGGTGTGTGGTGAATTCGTGGTTCGATCTGAAGACCTTGCCAACCATTTTTTAAGCGATCCGAAGGACAATGTAAGGACCACAGGTTCCGTGGGATTTTTGACGTTCTCGGTGTGCTACAACTTCAGATGCTTTGTGTCCCATGTGTTATGGGTGCTTTGTTGGGAGCGCTTGCCGCTCTAGATCCTGAATTAATGTCCGTTACCGGACCTGGTTGAGGAAAGTTGAGTCTGAGAGAGAAAAGCACTCTGTTTCCTGTGCCAAATTTTTCCTCTTGCGTTGCAGGTCCAGGATGATATGCTTCGGCTCAAAAGAAATGTCTAATCCTTCGAGTCCATATGTTTCGGAGGCATTTCGCTATAATTTTTTGGGTGATTGCTGTAGCAGAAAGCAAGATCTAGCGAAGAAAAGCTTGCCTTCATACGACCGACCTATGGCAGGTCGGAGAGTTTATTTTGGATTTTTTTGCAGTGATCTGGATGTTTGTCTAGACATTCTACTGTGAGACTTTGAAATATCTTGATTTTCAGGTGGACGATATTTTGTGAATCGATCGGAGGACCTAGCAAACCAGTTCTTCAGCGATCCACAAGCAAACCAGCAAGGCGCTCACCTGTAATATTTCGGGTGTATATCAAGTCTCTCGATTGTGTCAGGTCGGCTCGCCGCGCGCGGCGACCGTTGGTCAATGGCCGCGGCGAACAGCGATGTGACAGTCGAGCAGCCCGCCTGCAACGGCCAGCTGGCCGGCCAGCTGGCACTTTGCCAAACCGTAGAATAAATCGATAGGACGCGATTTATTGGATGCTGGGCAATTGCATGATAGCGCTGTTTTCTTAGTTCCTCGTAGAGCGTGATCCCGTGTCCATAATTATAAGTTGTTGGAGCTATGCTGCGTTTAACAAGTTACTAACACGTTCATGTTGTATTTAACAGGTACATATGTGTCGTTGTTTACCATGTATGCATGTGGTCCTTTCTTCGAATAGATGTGGAAAAGGGTGAAATGCACAGGTTTTGAAGGGAATGTCTTCCCCGAATTGAGATATTGGAACGTTTTTATTCTAGTAATGATATGATTAATGATGTGCTTATAATGTGATACAACCGGTCCTTGAAAGATTTACACGACTTTTTCCGTCACGAAGCGTGACATCCTGCGGCAGTAGGTGGTAATGCTGACCGTGCGTAAGAATCCCCGACTCTCACCGCCTGCGCAGGATGTCCTTTTTGTGCAGTCGCTTACCGTCGCTTCTTCTCTGAAAAACCTTTTTATAATCGACTTCAAGTCTGTATAATTGCAGAATAAACCTGTTCCACATTGAGTAGTCTGGCTTTAGCTATAGAAGTGCAGCCTTGAAGGTCCAGAAGAAGTTTGTCCATACGTGGATACCTCACACCGACTACTCCGCCCAACAGCCTGAATCAGTAGGAATAATTAGAAGGTTACGGACCTAAGTCTGCCGTTACAATGACTTGCCTATTAAACGCCTCTGCAATGTTGGATGTTCGTAATTCCGGAATGTCCCACTTGAACCAGAGATCCTTGAATTGTCCTGCATACCATGTGGTATGCAGGTATTCGAGAAACATACGACATCTGTCGTATGCTTCGTGGTTTCGTGGGACAGGGGGCCGCCACAGGGCCGGGACTTTTCGGTGCAGATGAGATGGGAGAAACACGACTCCTTTTATAGTTCTCCACCATGATTGAATTTTCGTGCACCGTTGAGTCCCTCGAACGTACTGGCGCAGCCCAAGCGCATCTCTTCTCCGATTCCACGCTTGTGCTAGATGAAACGCACACCCTTCCACTGATGCGCTCGGGAATACCCCCCTGGCTGCGTTTATGGCAGCCCTCTCAAAATCCAGCACGATTCGTAGGCCCTGCAGCGCCCCCGGTGACATTGCTCCCCTCATCGCTTGGAGAATTCTACTATAAACAGCTTCATTCTTTCTGAAACAAAGAAAGTGTTTGAATGAGATAGAAATAGAATAGACAGCTAAATACCTCATTGTTAGCGTACAGCAGGTCTGCATCTACACCATTGCCTGTAACACCATGGATAACGTATAGCTGGCCTTGCTTAATGGTAACGTTGGGCTGTAGATTGTGGACCCCGTCCATCACCAGAGCATGGAGACCCAGCTCGCAGGCCCGCTGAATAATAATAATCTCATAAAGTTTATGCGTATTTGCCCTAAACTACCTGAATAACATCAGGTCGGTAATAGATGTGAAGTTCCGGCGAAAGGTACTGCAGGAAACGAGAGCCGTCAGGAAGGTTGGAGTAGGCCGCCACTGCACAAAAAAAAGGTGAAGCTTCTCTTACCTTGTAATTTGTATTGGAGCAGTGTTTGGAATGACATGATAGAGAAGTCATAGAACAAAATCATTGCTGCGTAGGAATCCTAAAGAGCTTTTGTTGTCAACAATGCCGAAATAAAAACTTTGACATGCACTAGTTTGAGTTCAGAATTAGCCTAAGCATAAAAGAGCCAATGTATTGCAGTGTTGTAATAAAGGCGACACATTCCTAATGGGAAAAAACGAATAGGGAATGCTTGTTAACGAACCACTGCACAAAAATAGGTGAAGCTTCTCTTACCTTATAGTTTTGTTCCAAGCTGGTACAAAATTGGAGCAGTGTTTGGATTCACATAATCAGAGAAGTCGTAGAATGAAATCATTGCAGCGGAGGAGTCCTAAAAAGCTTTTGTTGTCAACAACGCCGAAATAAAAACTTGCGTTCAGCATGAGCGTAAGATTAAAAGAGCCCAAAGCAGCCAAACGAAGACGATGTGGGATAAGATAGAAAATCGTGGACGGATGCGTGCTAGAGCGATTCCGATGCGACAAGGAGACAGCACTGTGGCATCTCCAAAGACTTGTGAAGATCCGAAAATGTAGAGTTTGGTCCCCACGTGCCTTGAGCCCGATTCAGCTCCAAACACGATCTGACACCGTTATGTTCAAGTCGACTTACTAGGGATTCTACGATTGACCATCCATCACATTTGCCGAAGATGAGGAGTGGGTACAGTTTACTAACAAATGAACAAGCGGCGGTAGTCCAGCTCAAATCTCCGGGAGATCTTATTGCTTAAGTTCAACCTCGTCCAAGTAGGGCCTTCTCGGATTTTTGGTGGAACACGGGGAGAGTTAAGCTCTGGAAACTCCTACGTGTAGATGACGCAGCCAGCGCGAAAGTCAACTATCCACAGCTCGAATCCAACGCTTTTAATACGGAAGAAAAACAAGGCAAAGTTTGCTTTTGTATGACGCCGTTGAAAAACCTCTTGCTAAGAAAATTTAAGAAAAC